GACCTTATTTTTATAAATCTGCTAATCCATGTCTTCAACCAGAAGGGTACTTCATTCATCTTTTGTCTAGCACTATACTGGGGATACAAAATATGAAATGCTTAATATCAGGAAGTTCATTGTTTCACTCAGTAAATATTAAATATTAGGAACTGAACATACAAAGAAAAAACAATTCTTTCCTCTTATTTCTCACTCATTCATTCATCCATTCATTCACACAACTGTTTGCTATAACGAGCACACCTATCTTTTTCTAATGGTCTTGTGCATCACAGCCATGTGTCACAGATTTTGTATAAGGTATAACAAGCCCATGACCAAGATACACATGACTGAATACAATAGAGTCATAGGTGGAATATTGGAATTGTCAGTCTAGGTCCCTCAGAGGTCAGCAAGAGAGATTCCATGAAAGCTTAGAAGGTACCTAATTTAGCTTTGATACGGGGTGGGGGAAGAGTTAGAGCTGAGGACACTTCCAAAGGAGGAGTTCTCATAAGCTCATCTTTGAACAATGAATAATGAGGTGAGGAATAATTAGGAGGGTAGAAGGTGGTGAAGGATAACTGTTAAGACATCAGTTTTCTGGTCCGGAGCTGAAAATATCACCAGGTTCTCCTAACGCCACAGCAGGGAATAAATCTCACAGGATTACATCCTTTTCTTACAACATTTTATGCATTAACAGGAAAGCAATCTCATCTGCGATGCTGAGGCCAACCTACAACCACACAACGGAAACCCCTGCAACCTTCTTCCTTGTGGGTATCCCAGGTTTGCAGTCTCCACATCTTTGGCTGGTTATCTCGTTGAGTGCCATGTATACCATAGCCCTGTTAGGAAATGGCCTCATAGTGATTGTAATCTGGATGGATTCCACTCTACAAGAGCCCATGTACTGTTTCCTCTGCGTTCTGGCTGCGGTGGATATGGCCATGGCGTCCTCTGTAGTGCCCGTGATGGTGAGCATCTTCTCCTCAGGAGGCAGCTCCATCAGTTTTAATGGTTGTTTCACTCAGATGTATTTTGTCCACGCAGCCACAGCTATAGAGACAGGGCTCCTGCTGGTCATGGCTTTTGATCGCTATGTAGCCATCTGTAAGCCCCTGCACTACAATAGGATTCTTACACCTCAAGTGATGCTGGGAATGAGTGTGACCATCATCGTCAGAGCTATCGTATTCATGACTCCGTTAAGCTGGATGGTGAGTCATCTACCTTTCTGTGGCTCCAACATAGTCCTCCATTCCTATTGTGAGCACATGGCTGTTGCCAAGTTGGCATGCGCAGACCCCGTGCCCAGTAGTCTCTATAGCTTGATCGGTTCTTTCATTATTGTGAGCTCTGATGTGGCCTTCATTGCTGCTTCTTATACTCTGATTCTCCGGGCAGTCTTTGGACTCTCCTCAAAGAATGCTCAGTTGAAAGCGTTAAGCACATGTTGCTCCCATGTTGGGGTTATGGCTCTGTACTACCTACCAGGGATGGCATCCATCTATGTGGCCTGGCTAGGGCAGGACACAGTACCTTTGTATATCCAAGTGTTGCTAGCTGACTTATACCTGGTCATCCCACCTGCTTTAAACCCCATTATCTATGGTCTGAGGACCAAACAAATACGGGAGCGAATATGGAGCTTGCTGATGCACTCTCTGACCCACCTACTTTAAATATGTTAGAGGTTTGTGAAGCTGGTTTAGTTCACCTGGTGCCATAGAAGTTTTAAGATGAAGCTGTAAAGAATATCCTCACATAACTTTTTGATTTCCAGGAAGGATGTGAATAAAATTGTTAATTTTCTGACATTTTTAATGATTTCAATCAACTAGTATCTGAATCAGAGATAAGTCTGAGCAGAGAACATAGATTTGGGGAATTTCTTTCCTTAGCTTCTGACCCATATTTCCAACTTAATATCCTACCAGTCTCTCTGCAAAAGAAACCAACTGTTTGGGTTCCCTACACCTGGCTGATTTTGAAAACTGTTCATTTCCTCATGTGATGTATGGAAGCAGCTATTAATATATGATTGCCTTCTGGCCCACTGATGACTCTGTTCAACTTGGGTCATGTGCTCACACCTGGACCACTCTTTCTCCAAAAGGATTCATTTATCTGAGATGTAGATTTTGGATCACTGACGGTGGCCATTTCCTAAGACACGAACTTGGAAGATCTAGAGAAGTAGATTAGTAAAATGGGAGGAACTAAGTCTCTGGTTGTTTTCAATTCATTTTGGATACCTTGATATACCCCTAAGTTCTGTAAGATATGTCTATATCCTTTTACTATATCCCTCTATTGTTCAGCTAGTTGGAATCAGTGTACTAATCACCAGCTTTTGGTTTTTAAGCAACATAGGCCAAGGCAATGTGAGTTCTGTTTTAGACATCTTTCACTTTTCTTCCTATTCCTTTTGCTTAAGCGTAAGACACAAAGGACAGGAATCAAATATAACATAGATCTTTTTTCTTTTGAACACCTCTAAAGAGGTGTGTGGGGATGAAAAGGTTAATAGAAAACAGTATCAATAATGAAGCTGAGATGTCACCAAGATTCTTGTTTTTCCTCCTTTCAGAAAGTCCTAAGTGAAAGATCAGTATATGCTAAAAGAAAAAGATTTCATATATGAGATACATATATGACTCTGGTAGATTTGAAAGTCTTAATAAAGGATAATTTCCTAATAGTGTTGATAAGAAGTTATTGTATCTGAGTCTTAGTATCTCCTTTCTACTGATGGAAGAAACAATGATAATATATAGAGGGTACTGAAAATCAAATAAGGAAAGCACATAAGAGCAACATGTTGTGCATACTTAAATAATAAACCCAATACCTTTCTTTTTAAAACAATTTTTATTTGTTGATTTTAGAGAGAAGGGAGGAGGAAGGGGAAGGAGAGTGGGAGAGACAGAGAGAGAAAATAATATTGCTTTGTTGTTCCACTTATTTTTGCATTCACTGGTTGTTTCTTGTATTTTGTTTGTGCTCACACTTGGGAGTGAACCCACGATCTTGGAGTACTGGGATAATGCTCTAACCAACAGAATTAGCCAGCCAGGGCTACACAATCAATTTCTAATTCCATAATGTAAGAGGTAGTTTTAGGCACTATTAGAACTACAATCCTCTAATTATCATTCATGGGATAATTCTTCCAAAAAGATCTACTGCATCCACAGCTTTTGCTAACACTGGACTTGTTTATGTACTGGAATATATTGTTTCTGAATACCAGTGGGGCAGGAATCAGCCTCTAAAAATCTGAAAATGTACTGGGCGTCCAGGGTAGTACAACAAAATTCTCCTCTTGCAACCCCATAACATAAAAACAAATCAAGATGAGGTGGTTAAGCATATTTGGTTAAGATTTCTATCTTGAAAAGTCACACTAGTCTTTTCTTTCTTAATAAGCAAACCAAAGAATTGACTATATCAGATGGAAAGCATCAAAGGCATAGTCCAGCCTGCACCCAACACCAGAGACTTCTTCCCAGCATTTCCATTAGAAGCCTGCCCTGCCTGCTTTGTGTTTCACTCACGTTAGTATTCCCTGAAACTAGCTGGGACCCGCTGTTGGTACTCAGATATTTAGTGGACTGGTTCCCTTCCACGCCCAACCTCAAACAGAAAATCCTGTTCGTTTCCCAATACATTCAGATACAACCCCTGCCCCATCACATGAAGCAATGTGTGCTCATTTAACCAGTGTCTGTGGCCCACAGTAGATGCCCAGTGTTTGCTTTTAAGACATTAGAGGCAATCCTGCCTGTAGTAAAGGTAGACTAAATTTCCTGTGGGTTAAGCTAAGGATTGCCTTCCATTTCTTCCTTTTGCAGGACTCAAGCATGTCACCCTCTTAGTAACCTATTCCCTCAAGGCTCAGGCACTGCACCCCTTGGTTTCTCTGCTAGTGAAACAGAAATAGGCAAAGCTTGTTCCTGACTCTTTCCTTGTAGTGAATAATCACATCAAGTTGGAGGTTCCCTGCTAGTCATTTCAGGAAATGTGCAGGCACCCTATCCTCCACCCTATATGCCCCTTCCCCATTCAGTGGAGTGGTCCAGATGGGTAATTATCCATCAAATTAATTTTTGAACAGGATTATTATCATCTAGTCTTTCATCCCCCTTTAAGGCAAGAAGATCTTGTTTTTGTTTTGATTCTAGGAATAAGATAAAAAATTCTTTCACTTATTTATCAATGTCTGTGCCCACACATAAATGTACACACAGTGCTAGACTGGGGGTACAATGGTGAACCAGATCAATAAGGTCTTGTCTTCATGGGGTTCTTAGAAGATAAGTATACATAAGTACTTTAAAAAAGGGTTTTCATATGCTAACAACTTTATTCTTGCCTTATCTTAAAAATCAGAAAACATGAAACAATGTGCCGCCATTTAACCTTGTAATTCTAACAAGCAATCATAGCTCCCAAATAAACATACCAATAGAAAAGAAAAACCCCAAAACCAAAGCCCCAAAATACATTATAAATGAAGCCATTCCACTCCTAAATTCATTCTAGGTTTGAATGAATTTATCACCTAATCATCTTTTCTCTGAACCTTCCAAGGACTGCCCTAATAAAACCACAGGAAAAAACAATATTGATTTGTCCCTAGACTTTTTCTAACTGCCTATGGATAGATAATGGGAAGCACTTCCTAAAGATCTATTTCTCAAGTCTATACACAATTCCCCAGGCACTCTACCCTCCAAATGGCTACTTGCCTATCTGCCTCTTACCCATCTGGACCACTTTGTGTGTCTCTCCCACTCAAAGGCAGTCCCTCTACTGCAGGCCAGCGCGACCCTTTGCCAAGACCAGACCTATGACTTACTACTCCATTCCCTTCCACTAATGCTTCATTAAGAAGCGACTTGGAAGCATGGTGGGCAGAATGCGTTTATTTCTTCATTTTGGCCTGTTTTACCTCCTTCATGCTTTTTTTTTTTTTAATCCTCACCTGAGCATATGTTTAGAGAGAGAGGAAGGGTATGGGGAGAGAAAGAGGGAGAGAGAAGCATGGATTGGTTGCCTCCTGTATGCCCCTGAACGGAGCATCAAATCCGCAACGTAGGTATGTACCCTAACTGGGAAATGAACCCGCAGCTTTTTGGTGGTGGATGGGATGCTGCAACCAACTGAGCCACCCAGCCAGGGCTCCTCCTTCATGTTAACAGCCAATACAATTAAATTAGAAAGACAATTTTTGCTATTATTTATTACAGGAATTACTTTGCTTCTGTCCATCTATCACCCAGTATCTTCCTTGCTTCTCAATCCTACCCAAATAGTCACTACCTTCACATCTAAACTACATCAATGGTGGTGTCTAACAGTCATTATGACAATGTGACATACATATTGTAGCCTCTCACAACAGGCAAAGCCATTAATTCTCATATGCTAGTCTTGCACTTCGTTTCCAGACACAATTATTCCCACATCATACTCTTAAGGCCTGCAGTGAATTACTTTTTGCCACACACAACAATCACTTTTAGGTTAACAGCACAGATACATGGTCTTAATTTCCTCTTCATTTTAATGTATGGCTCCAAAACTGGCTTCTTGTGCCTAGTCCTATTCTTTTTCCCGATTCTTCCTTCCCCCATGTCTCCTCCTGTCATAGCTTTAGGGAAAACAAAGGCAGGGAGAATGTCAGGCAGTTACCCGAACCATGTGGATTCCCTTGGTGATACAAAAAGATCCAAACTTTAGCCCAACTAGTTTGTGGGTGAGTGAGCGTTCCTTCCTGGTTATTTTCTTTTCCTTCAAAAAACGATCTCCATTCTCTATCCTGCAGTCACAGTCCCAACTCTAATCCAAAGAAGTAAAACATACAAAAAAATAGATTCACAATATATTGCTGGGACCCAGAGTTTGTCACTGGCACGGCCACATTCTGTCTAAAGGGCTCTAGACTGTCAGGAGAGGCCCTGAAACACAAAGGCCCTGCTGTAAGATGCTGGCTGAGGTGAGTCGGAAGGTTACACAGGCAATATCCACGGCTGGCAATATCCTCTGTCCCTGAGAAAGGAACACAAGTTTGGGATGGATCTGAGATCCTCACAACAACCCAATGAGGTAGGAGAGTATGTAGCCCCTCTACCCATTTTTCCCATGTAGGACGAAACATCTTTCAAATGAGTGGGGACTTTCAGATCCAAATGTAATGAGTGACATGCAGACATGTGACCTGAGAAGTGAGTCTGTCAATCCTGTTTCATTTAAATGTAAGAAATACTGTATAATCTTTACAATCTTCTTTCAACAGCTCTGTGAGAAATAACTTGCTCTATTAAGGCCATTTCAGTTTTCTTACCCATAAAGTGAAAATAAAAACAAGGCTCACAGGTTTTCTGATCCCACCACTCAGGGAGAAGGGCAGGACCAGGACACAGGTCTCTTCAGAGCCTGACACACAGCGGTGTGTCCAGCTCGTGCGTACAGGAGGGTGACCGCTGGACTGGTCTGGGCCACCTGCAATGCATTTCTACAGTTTAGAGGCTGCAGAGCTGGGGTCAAACATTTGCTCACTTGCAGCAAACCTCAGGTGAGGCCTCCAACTGGCCTCAGCACAGTGGTCAGCTCTGGATATGAGTGGTATTCTTCTGTCTTGTTGGTAAACCCTATCTAACAGGTTTCCAGAAGGTTGCATCTACTTCATTGTCCTCACTGACTTAATTATGGCAATGACAGGGACTGAAAAAGAGGGGCCTGAATTACAGAAAGGACAAGACCTCATTGTTAGAGCCACTCTGATCCCACTCTGACCCTCACCTTCGGGCCTGTCATGCTTCCCCCACAGGGGACAATGTCCATTTGAGTAAGCCGCACCTCTTTCATGAAGTGGTTTAGTGAGAGACTCTGGCTCAGGAACAGCAGACCACTGGGCAAGGCAGAAGAATCCCCAGATTCTAGGCTCAACTCAGTTTAAGGGGACCCTTGTCGGGGTAGGCCCTCCGAGACCCCTGTGGCCCAGGCGAAATTCTGAGGCCTCTGGCTGGGATGGTGGCTCTCTTAGTCCTCCCTGTCCAGGGAGCAGATGGCCAGAGGAGCAGTGTTGTTGGCACCAATGCTGTAGCAAGGACTAAAATAGGGCAGGAGGCGCCCAGGGAAGGGATAGTGGGGAAAAGTAAAAATGTGGGAGCCGTTGTCAGTCACGTTGTAGAAGGAGATATCATGGGCCTCGTAATCCAGGAAGACGCCCACCCGTCGGGGAGGGACTGGCAAGGACAGGAGTGGGTATTCATCAGTGCCTGCCCGGTACTCATTGCCCTTCCTCAGCCTTATCACCCAGAATCCATAGTGTGGGGATAAATAGACCACCTCCTTCCGGTCGACATCTTCCTTACACACTCCCAGGCCCCATTCAGACCTGTCTCCCACCTCCACCTCCCAGTAGTGCTGGCCTGAGGAGATGCACTGGCTGCCCAGGACGATATTATAGCGGTAGAATCTCTCAGGATTGTCGGGCAGTTTCTGCTTGGTGTCTCCATAGCGCACGCATTTTCTGTCCTCAGACACGATGAGGCGGGAATAGGCAGTGTCTGGATCAAGGCGCACATCAGCTAGAGAAAAAGACCCCGGTTGGCAATGCTGGTACGGAGGGAGGGGGCATGGGCAAGGTGTGCCTGGTAAATATAGCCATGGATTTCTCAGTGAAGGGTGGGAGTGAAGGGCTAGCTGGGGGCATCCAGAGGGCACTGAACTACTTTATTTTGCTGGGAGGGGTTCCTCCCATTGCCCCTCACAGCCTGCCCCAGCATTCATTACCTGCGTATGTCTTCAGCATCTCTCTCAGGCCTGGCACACAGCAAACTGTTTTCAGCTCCAGGGAGACTGGCTCTGGCCGCTGCAGGCTCCAAGAGTTGCTCCTAGTAGAGGAGGGTTAAGCCTTGGGGCAAGAAGCCTTGGCTCTGTCACAGGGACTTTCCCTTAGTACAGGGAAGAGGGCCCTGGCAGGCAGGTGCCCTCTCCAGCATCACCAGACAAAGCAGAGATGTGATGCTTATTCAACTGAGACGAACTGTTTGTGGCACAAGGAGAACACCTGTGTTCTGGGGCTGTGAGAAGCGTTAGATGCGCCCCTGGCACAGGGAGAGGAAGGTGTGCCAGAGGAGAAAAGCTACGCTCAGAGCTTAGAGCCCTAATGGTTGCAACTGCAGCGTTTTCCCTCCTTGGGAGATCTACTGGAAAACACATATTTCATAAGTGTCCTGAAATGCTTACTGGTAATACTTGAAATGAATCTGACCAAAGACGAAGAAGAAAAAAAAAAAGGTGAACAAAGCTTCTTTGGCCAATACAAAGAAAGGGGGAGAAGATTATGGAGCAACCCTCGCTTTTCTACAGTACTGGGTCTCTGTTCCTTCCCCACTTCTGGCCAGCCCCCGCTATCCCTCCCAGGTCTGCCTAGGGGCTCTGAGGATGGGAACATACCTGTTTAAGACTTCCCGAATACCCTGGAAGAAGAAAAAAATGCAACACATGACTATGTGCTGTTCCTGGGAGAGGGTGGGTAAACAATGAGCTCTGGGAGAGGGTTTCTCTAAGGGTAGGAGAGGCGGAGAGCAAGGCTGGGGAGAAGGTGCGCAGAGGTGGAGGGGAGGATCCTACAGGAAGGGAACAGGGCAGGCTCAGCTGGACTGGCCGACTCCAGGCTCCACCTCAATTCTCTGGCCAAAGGGGAAGGGCTGGTATGATGCCTTCAATAAGGCCAGGTTGTCCAACCAAGCAAGGGCAGGAGAAGAGGAGGCATTAATGGGGATGTGGGTGGACGGATATGAGAGCCACTCACCTGCAGCATCCATCGGACAGGCCTCTGAGACCTCTCTTCTAGCTCTGCAATCAGCCTGCACAGGACCCGGCTCTGTTGGATGAGTGCGTCGTGATTCAACTCCAGTTTCTGTCTGGTCTCGCCCTCCTCCTGCTCCAGGCTGGCAAGAGCTGAGGCTGCCTCTACGTCCAGCTGCCGACCTGGTGACTTTTTCTTTAGTAATCGCCGATACTTCTCAAACTCCCATATGATACTCTGCTTTCGGGTTTCTACCTGTATCTGCACAGCCAAGATTGGAAATAAGTAATGATATTGTTCACGTTAAAGGCCACCTGGTACTGAGGACACCTGCGTGTGCGCGTATACAGATGCTCTGGAGTATTTGGTACCAACTGTGTGCCAGGCATGGTAGAGGTCAAGATAAAGGATACTATTTTTCCTACCTTTCTGTTCCCACATGCTTCTGAGTCCTTATTCCTTATTCTTATTGACTTCAGTAGGGCCCAGGATATTATCTTGGTACTATATGCTCTATCTATTTCCTATTTTCAGAATAATGACCAGAGCATTACACTTAAGCCTCTAAGGCACTGTAAGAGCTACACTGTTAGATGTTTTTGTTTCTTACTGGTATTATAGCAGTTCAATGTTGCTTTTGACTGGTTCAGTGTTACCTTCTGTTGATCTAAAGCTCTGATAGTTTGGTGGTTATGGCCCTCAAATTTATGCAGAGGTGATTTTCCAGAATTTTAATAACTACACCTTTCGTAAGTATGCTCTAACTGGGGAAAGTGAAACAGAAACTACATTTTACTAAGCATTATACAAGTCATACCACCGTGAGCTGATGCATAAGTGAGGTGTGTATGAGGACACAGGAGGACAGTAGGCCAGAGGTTATTCCTACATCACAAACAAGAAACTGGAATGAGAAGCACACGGCCTGCCTAAGGCTGCACACCTGGTAGAGAAAGCTGGAATGAGCATTCCTGGCTTTCTGACTTCAAACCCCACATTCTGCTTCAGAGGTGAGGAAGCTACCATAAGCCAGCTGCAGGACTAACACTGGGACCACCCAAACTCCTTCCCCAGGTGGCAACCTGCCTTCCAGGTGGCAGTTCGTTTCCTCTCACCAACTTCCAGCTTCCAGGCCTCTTCTTGCTCTTTCCTCAGATGTTCCAGAGCCTCATGGAGTTTCCACTGGAAGAGATTAAAACGTCATGAGGTCATCTCGGGCAGCTGGGTCGATAACGAGGCTGCCTAGCACTGGTAGGTAATTGGAAAAGAAGTGCCCCTCAGGTGATGAGCCAGATGAACACTGGGAGCAAAGGGATGCCAAAGAGGGAGTGGATTCCTGCCCACATGACATGCAAAGTAGCTTTGATCTGGGAACCACTTCAACTTCCAGAGTCTCCAAGTTTCTGCAGAGTAGAAAAAAAGGTCTGTTTCCAAGCTTGCCAGGAAACTACCTTGAACTTCCTATCCATGCCTCTTTTTATCCTTACCTGCCACGTTATGCTATGGCCTTCTAAAACCTTCATATTCAAAGTGTGGTCCAAGTGGATTGGCAGTATCGGGACCACCCGGGAGCTTGTTAGAAATGTGGAGCCTTGAGCCCCACCTCCCGCCTCCTGAGTTAGAACCTGAATTTTAACAAGAATTTTGGGTGGTTCATATGCCATGAAAGGTAAGAAGAACTGTCCTAGAACACCAGTGCAAGAGATTACTCCTGGAAAGCATAAAGTGTTCTGATGATAATGTTAGCCATTTTGTTAAAGAGTTACCAAGTGCTACACATGGCTTAAGTACTGAACATACATTCAAAACTCACAGTCCCTTGAGAATGGTATTATCCCCATTGTACACATTAAGAAAACTGAGACTCAGAGAGAGTTAAAATCAAAGTCATGTAGCTAGCCAATGATTTGGGCTAGGATTTACCACTGCTGTGTAACTCCTATGCCTATGTGATACCGCCTCCTTCTTCCAATGCTCTCAAAACAAAATGACTAAGTTAATACTTCAGATTTTTTAGAAAGTCTTCTCACATAGAAAAACAGCCAATTCTGGGGATTTCTTATACTCTTACCTTCTAATTTCAACTTCTAGAAAGAGAATTAAAACCAGTGTCATATCACTGGATCACAGTTCTTACACAACACTAATAAAGATATGTCCGCATGGACAACTGAGGAAAGTACAAGGACCTGGAAGTCGACGAGGGTGGCTATGCAAAAGAGGCAGCAGATGTGTCGGAGATGACACCCCCTCCTCCTCCACAAAGAAACGCTTGGTAGAGGAGAAAAAATACTGGCTGAAGAGCAAGAAGGCCTAAGTTGTATCCTTTAACTAGCTTTTGACTAACTTAACCAAAATTCAATTCTAAATGACTCAGCCATAGTCTCTTCCAGCTCTAAAACCAGTTATCATGATCTCAAACTTCTAAGCCTCAGTTTTGTCTCTAATATAAGGAAGTTAAAATGACTCATACAATGTCAAATGACCATGGCATTGCTAGGAGTGTGCAGGTTCTGATAGGTGCAGCCTTGACCACCTCTTACACAAATTCATCCAAGGCACCAAGAACCCCAGCTAAACCAGACTGGCCTTCTTCAAATTTTCAGCATGGAAGCATCTTTGGGTTAGGCATTAACCTGCTTTGGGATTGGGGGTGGGGTGCGGAAGTGGGAGGGAAGGAAGTCAAAGGAGCTCATAAATGTAAGGAGCTATGCGGCTCCCTGTGTCACGTCCCAAGGCTCAGTGGGCATGAGGACCAAAGGTATCAGTTCTCATTTTATCTCTGGGGCCTCTGGTCAACTCCTTAATTTAGAGATAGCCAAGTGAGGGGCAGGGGAAAGATTAGGGTGGCTAGCCTCTGTCTCCCACCTTATACTCCCAGGCGACATCCTCCATGGGCACGACACTGTGGGCTTTGTGCTCAGGGGACTGGCTGCAGGCCTCACATGTGATCAGGCCGTCCTCTTTGCAGAACATCTTTAGCTGTTCTCCGTGGAGCTCACACACATTACCCTTCAGCCCCATTCCTGGGTGCAGCCCTAGCAGACGGACTTTTTCTACCACACTGGCCAGCTGCCAATTGGGCCTCAGGTTCCTTGGTTGGACGGGAGCCCGGCAGAGGGGACATGTGTAACCCCAGTTCTGGGATTCCCCTGGGACCTCCCAGAGTCCAGAGAGACAGCTGTGACAGAAGCTGTGGCCACAGTCAATGCTCACAGGCTCCCTCAGGTATGTCATGCAGATGGGACAGGCCACTTCTTCCACCACGGCTTCTACCAATGCTGCAGGATCCATGGTTCCTTTTCACGGCCTTCTCAGAACAAAACCAGGCAGAGGTAATAAGGGCTGAGAAGAAAAGAAAAACAAATGAGAGGAAAAGGTAACAGAGGAGCAGAGGGATCAGTAAAAGGGATAATTAGTGAGTGAGAAAAATCTCTCCTTTTGATCCTTCATTGACCCTGTTTAGTGAGCACGGGGCTTCCCAACTGAAGTTCTGACTGGGTCACATTACTCACACCACAGAGGGACATTTGGGGATGCTGTAGCAAGTGAATGTTGGGAGTTCTGTTTTTATTCATTTGGTCATCTCTGACCCTCCTCTGGGTTTGCTCACCTGACCATTCCCACTTAACCTCAATCACACTTTCCAAATCGGCATAATTTCTCTTGACCTTGGATAAGGTCACCTAAAATGGGGTGTTTCAGTACCAAAAATAAGGCCAGAAATACCCCCAGTCTCACTCTCTGGTAAGTTTATATGCATACTTACATACTTCAAAGGGCAAAAAAGTAGTATGTTAGAAACCCATTGCCTAAATGCTCAACTGATTTTCTTGCATTGCACACTAAAGTGTAAAGTAGAAGAGAACAAGCAATCCTTTCCCCACACGCTGTAAACCCCTGCGCCTTCTCCAGCACCAGCTTTCACTGAGATGCTGACACTCTCCTCAGCCTTCAGTGAAATGTTAGAAGCAGAGATAAAACAACACTCCTTGGCAGATAAAAACAAAGGTCATCTAATGTTAATCAAACATATAGGATGAAGTCACTACCCCAGCAAGAAACCTGAGATTTTTGCTAGGGCCACATGTGTGTTTGGAACTTACATGGCCAATGGCAGGCTCTTGGCACCATTGGACATACTTACTTGTTCACTGCAAATTTGTGTTAGTGGCTGGGGTCTGTAAAGGAAAGAGGATCTTGGTCTCAGTTAGCGCTGTATCCTTAGTTCCTAAATGCTGCCTGAAATGCAGTTATTGCTGAAGAAACATTCCTCAAGTTAAATAAGCCAGCTAGACATAGGAAGTAGTTCCTAAACTCAAAATGTTTTTATAATTTGTTAGATAATCAAGAACATATATTAATAACAGCAAGCACTCCTTGAACACTTATGCTGCATGCCAGACACTATTCTCAGCATTTTACGGGGATTATTAGGCTCAGTTTTTTTCACAACTTCAAGTAGAAACCATTATTTTACTGTTCTCATTTTATAGATGCTTGGTCCTGGGCCCCACCATTTTATCTTGGGCAATTACTAACCTCTCCAGCTCCAAGGTATAACAAAAATTCAAGACAGAGAGAAATCTCTGTGATTTTGGGTATTCCAGTAAGTATTCCTGGAGGAAATGAAGCAGTCAGTACATTTTGCAGGAATCTCTGTTAAAGGCTAGCAGGAAGCCCTCTCTGTTTCCTGCTTTCCCCTGCTCCCACTATCATCACCAAATTGTGGGATCCAGTGTCCTAAAACTTAGTTTTACAAAATCACTAACCCACTGAAGAACCTATCTTGGTTCCCCAGCACCCAGTTCAATAGGAAGCTCTTGCTCTTCATCTCTGAAAGAGTGTCTGTGCTCAGTCAAGCAAAGAGAGAGACTTCCACACTTCCTGCAAACCCTATACCTGGTTATTCTATCCGACCTAGGTTCCTTCTGTTCTCCCACCTTGCAATGACTTCTCCACGATTCTTCTCTTAACATCGTTTGACAAGTATGCATTTATTGTCTTACTTTCCACACTAGAACTTTCATGAGAATAGCAGCATCATCAATTTTGTTCACTACTGTATTTCCAACTCCAAGAACAGTGCCTCCAATATTTTTTGAATATATGAAAATTAAATGTAACTGTTGAGGTCCAGCTGATTGTAGGATGCCAAGTGGAAGAAGTGTCAATATCCTCATGTAACACAGAGGGGCACCAAGAGCTACCACCTAAAGCTGACAGGATACAGGGGTTGAAATCTGTAAGGATCAACAAAAGAACAGAAATGGAAATCGAAAATTGGTGGGAGTAGGAAAGTGGGGTACAGAAACCTCAAAATGATAAGTCAAGAAATGGAGTGTAAGCATATTATTTAGATTTAGTAGGTCATAAAAAGATCTAAACACGAAAATGTTAAAAGCAGTGGCCTCCGCAAAACGGATTTAGGGGCGGGTAGCTATTGATCTTAGACATAAAACCTGTTTCGTGGTGTTTTTTATTATACATAAATTACTTCGACAAAGCTTTAATTAGTAAACAGTTAATTGCTTCCAAATTGCCTTTGGCATGGTGACGAGTCAGTCTGGGAAAGACATTTGGAGGGGGCGGAGCCTGTTAAAGACTCGCGAGGAGGGACCAGAGTGTGTAGAGTAGCGAGTGGAGGCGGTGATCTCCCGGGTTCGAGAGTAGAGGGGGATGGTAACCTTCGAAACACTGAGTGGAAGGCAGAGCCCCAGGGCAGCCGGCGGGTGAGGGGCAGAGGGAGACGATTCTGCAGAACCTTTGACCTCAGGAGAGGCACGGCTGTCTACGCATCTCCCTCCTCAGCCCGGACTAGCGACCCGCGGCGAAAGTCGAAAGTGGAGGTACCAGGGTCCCACTGCCGAGTGTCCCAAAAGTCAGAAGCGGCTGGTCTTGCCGCAGCACTTACCGCCCGCCCGGAGAAGGTCCCAGCAGCGGCCCACTCCTCGGCCTCCTGCAGGGCTCTCAGGCCCCGCCCACAGAGCCGAAGCCAATGATCGGCGGGCAGGGTCCAGAGGCTCTAGCGGCATCTTTGAGGGAGCAGCCAATCACAGTCAGGGATGAGGACAACCCTCGCCAATCGGAAGAAGGGACGGGTCTTCCGCTCACCTCTCCGCTTGCCGGTGTTTTTTTTTTTTTTTCTCCTCTATCTGGGGTTTTCTGGCCGATTCCTCAGCTCAGAGCCCCTTAAAACTGTAAATGGGCCGAGGAATCAATCCCAGGATGGGTCGAAGGGTGGGGCTCCCGAATGAGATCGCTCAGGCTCTGCATTAGCAGAGGCCTAGGTCCCAGGAACCATTTACGTCTCACGCTTCGGTTCTGGCCGAACAGAGCGCACCTTGTTCCTTCCAGGTGACGGCACCTAATGTTCATTTGCCAGTTTCCCATGTTAAACTCGCCAGCATGTGAGATCAGCCAGGTCTGGTTCTGTGACCCAATTTAGCGCAGGATTGGGCACATACATTCTGTGGGCTTTGCAGTTTCCAGCAAGATGAGCATCTGTCCTGGCTCCAAGCCACAGATACTGGGTTTAAAAAAAAAACCCAACAACAAAATCCTCCTTGTGTAACTTAAGCAGGCACATTTTCATCACTATTTCCTCAATCCACCTTAAAGTTAGAAGCAGATACTGGGAGCTGGTAGAGTGAAACTGGAATAAATTTCTGGGCACAAAATGCCATGGAAAAAATTAAAAAAAAAATTTTTTTTTTTAAACAACTACTTCCTTACCCAAACAAACACTGATACACTTGCTACTACTTAAAGGGAGTGATTTGGGTTTTTCTTGGACTACTTGCAACTTCTCTTTTTCCTGATATTTTAGGTGTTTACTGAATAAGCAAATGAAGGCACATCCTGTCCGCAAGGAAAATAACAAAGAAAGCAAGGAAAATAACAAAGAAACCGTTCAATTGAAGCTCCCTTCCATTGTTTGGATTTAAACTCTCTGTGTCCTCAGGCCAATGTCAGGTCCCAAGATGTGGTGGAAATTCTGAAGAGTGAGGCTCAGAAAATTCCTGAAACAAAAGGGGCCATGAGCAAACAAGATGTAACTGAGGTCTGAGGTGAACACTCTGTCTCACCTGATCTGGAGAAATGGCTGCCCTGACAGAATAGAGAGTGGATTAATTGAAATAGGCCACTTTAAACATTTATTGAGCATTAATTTTTTTGCAACATTTTGTGCTGGATGCTGGGATTACATCTATGGGTTACACAGTCTCTGCTTCTCAGGAGCTCAAGGTCAAGTTGGTTGTACTTCTCTGGAGCTTCTGTGAAGTTAAAACAGTTAATGTGGAGATCCTTTTAATTTGTAACTTGAAATTATCCATAACCATAACCCTAACGTGCCCATTTGCTAAAAGCCCCAGCAAAAGGACACTTTAAGGTTTCTGGGGTGAAGGCTTGTGTTCACTAAGGGGTAGGGGAAGGCTGGACAGAGAGCTTTTGAAGACAGATGAGCCCACCACACAGGCACAGAAGCTTTCCTTCCCAGTCCCTTAGGGAGCTTGTTTGCTGTGAGAGGCAGATGGGTGTGTCCAGGTAACACTCTGTCTTCGATTTACTCAGTTGGCTGCGATTGCCGACCTCAACCCTCAACCCTCTGCCTAAATCAGAAAGATCAGGACAACAAGTTGAGTGGCTTCACCGTTTGAGAATGCCTATCTGTACTCAGAGAGGAGTGGCAGGAAGAAGGTGCAGATATTGAGGAAGCAGGGCTAAGGAAAGGGTAGGGACCTGGTACAAAACCCTAGGACCTGTATTTGCGGAATGAGACAAGAAACTGACCACATTACATGTCATGCAACCTACCTTGTTGAGAGACCCCCAATTCGTTTCTCTCTTTCTCTCTCCTTACTCCCTGACTCAGTATGAGCCACAGACTCATTAAGTTTCATTCAATCTTAGTCCTGAATTTTATTTTTCATATTTTAAAAATTTATTTGTCTATCTATTGCAAAAAAGACATCTCTAGAGAAACTGTTATAGCTGTGAGTAATCCACACTAATTTTTGAAACAGTGACCTGAACAGAGAACTGTTTTGCTAAATACCCCAACACATTCCTCTGCTTATATATAGATGCTTTCTTTTTTTTTCCATCTCCCTACCGACCTTCCCTTTGGCAACCATCAGCTTGTTCTTGTTTTTGTGGGTCTGTTTCTGTTTTGTTTATTTGTTGGTTTTGTTTTTATTAGATTCTACATAACAGTGAAATCATACTTTGTTTTACTCTGTCTGACTTGGCTTAGCATAATAATAGCCTCAAATAACCCATGAGAACCCCCGTTATCACGAATGTCAAGATTTCATTCTTTTTTAATTTTGAATAAATATATATGTATTTATGCATATATGTATTTATGTATATATCTGTATATAAATATATATACATAAATATATATGTATGTATGTATACACATAGATATATGCACATATACAAAATCTTTATCCATTCATCTACTGATGGACATCTAGGTTGCTTCTACCTCTTGGCTATTACTAGAAATGCTGCAATAAACATAGGGGTGCAAATATCTTTTCAAATTAATGATTTTGTTTTCTTCTGATAAATATCCATAAATGGAATGACTGGATTGTATGGAAGTTCTATTTTTAAATTTTTGAGAAATTTCCATACTGTTTTTCATAGTGGTTGCACTAATTTACATTCCCACCAGTAGTGTATGAGGGTTCTGTTTTTCTCCACATCCTCACCAGTACTTGTTATTTGTTGATTTATTGATGGTAGGCATTTTGACAGGTGTGAAGTGATATCTTATTGTGGTTTTAATTTGCATTTTCTTGATTATTAGTTATGTTGAGCATGTTTTCCTACATCTGTTGGCCATCCGTATGTGCTCTTTTGCAAAATGTCTGTTTAGGTCCTCTGCCCATTCTTAATTGGATTTTGTTTTTGTGTGTGTGTTAAGTTGTATGAGTTTCTTATATAATTTAGAAATTAATCATTTATAAGTTGTATCATTTGTGAATATCTTCTCTCATGCAGTAGGTTTTCTTTTCATTTTGTTGATTGTGCCCTTCACTGTATAAAAACTTTTTATTTTAATGTAGTCCTATTTGTTTATTTTTTCTTTTATTGCCCCCCACTCAAGGAGACACATCCAAAGAGATCTTGCTAAGAGAAATGTCAGAGTTTTTTGCCTATGCTTCCTTCTTGGATTTGGATGGTTTCATATATTACATTTAATTCTTTAATCCATTTGTAGTTTATTTTTGTATATGACATAAGAAAGTGGTCCAATTTCGTTTATTTGCATGTATCTGCCCAGTTTTTTTCAACACCATTTACTGAAGAGACTGTTTTTACCACATTTGTATATCTTTTCCTCCTTTGTCATACACTAATTAACCATATAAGTGAGGATTTATTTCTGAGGTCTCTATTCTGTTCCATTGATCTATATATCTGTTTTAATGCCAGTGCCATATTGTTTTGATTATTGTAGCTTTGTAGTGTAATTTAATACCAAGACATATGATACCTTCCCCTTTGTTTTTTCTTAGCATTTTGGGGGCTATTTGGGGTATTTTGTAGTCCATATAAATTTTAGTATTAGTTGTTTTAATTCTGAGAAGGATACTATTAGTATTTCAATAGGGATTGGATTGGATCTATATGTTGCTGTATGTAGTAAGGACATTTTAACAATATTAATCCTTCCAACCTATGAACAAGTTATATTCTTCCACTTATTTATATTTTTTTAAATCTTTCTTCAATGTCTTATAGTTTTCAGAGTACAGGTTTTTTACCTCCTTGGTTAAATTTATTCTTAGGTATTTACGTTTTTGAGGCAATTGTAAGTGAAATTGTTTTCTTAACTTCTCCTAATCATTCATTTTTGATGTATAGAATGAAAAAGATTTTGTTATAGTTCTGTATGCTGCAACTTAGCTGAATTAAGTTATTGGTTCTAATAGGTTTTTTTTTTTTGTGGAGTCTTTAGGGTTTTCTATATATGGTATCATGTGATTTGCAAATAAAATTTTACTTCTTCCTTTTTGATTAGGATGCCTTTTATTTTTATTTTTTCTTATCTGATTGCTGTGGTTAGGATTTCCAAAACTATGTTGAATAGAAGTGGTGATAGTAGACATCCTTTCCTTGTTTCTGATCTTAGAGGAAAAGCTTTTAGCTTTTCACCATTGAGTATAATATTAGCTATGAGTTAATCATGTATAGACTTTATTATGTTGAGGTACATAGTTATACCTACAATCTATAAAGAGTTAATACCTGTGGGTGGAGGTTAGGATTCAAATTTTACTTTTTTCCATTTGGATAATCAGTTTTTCCTGTACTAGTTATTAAAAATGTACTCTTTATTAGGTGCTGTGTAGTGCTACTTTTGTCATTTAACAACTGGCCACATATGAGTGGGTGTGCTTCTGGGCTTTTATTTCTATTCATCAGCCCAATTGTCTACTTTGTACCATTATCACCCTTTTGTAATTACTATAGCTTTATAATAAGTCTTTTTAAAAAATCCTCACCTGAGGATATGTTTTATTGATTTTAGAGAAAGGAGAAGGGGGAGGAAGAGAGAGAGAGAAAGGGAGGGAGAGAGAGAGATCATTTGCTTCCTGTACTCACTCTGGGGATCAAACCTGCAACCTGGGTATGTGTCCTGACCAGGGATCGAAACTGGAAGCTTTTGGTGCATGGAATGATGCTCCAAACAACTAAGCCACCCAGCCAGGGCTATAATAAATCTTGATATTTGATATAATTCATTGTACTTTGGTCTTATTCTTAAAGAGTTTTGTGACTATATTCAGTAATTTACATTTTTATTTAAAATTTTAATTAAACATATCAAGTTCTGCAAAATGACCTGTGAAGGTATTATTGGATTGCATTACTCAGTAGAAAAATTTGGGGAGATAATTAAATTTTTCATATTACTGAGTTTTCCAAAAAGGAATATAGTTTTTTTTATTCC